ATGGATTCCACTGACTTTGAATCCGCTCCTTTCAAAGCAGAAGGAATAATCTTCAACTGTTGTCCTTCGTATAAGTTAGGAACTAAGAAGAAACTTCCTAACAGTTAGAACAATTAATCAGTAAAATGGCCTGCCTCCAGAAGTTGTGGGTTCTCCACCATTGGAGATTTTTAAGAAGAGACTGAATAGCCATTTGTCCGGAATGGTATAGGGTCTCCTGTTCCAATTATGTTATTCTGGACTTTTCAATGAGGTGGGATTAGAATAGGATCAGAAGAAGAAGAGATCCATGTCCTCAAACTCTTTCTGAAGATGTGTCTCAGGCTCTTTTAAAAGCCACATCCCAAAAAATAGCCTGGCTGATGGGTCACTGAATTAAATCAAAAGTAAAGGAGTCCCCGCAGGTTTTACTATGCTAGTTGTAGCGGACTTCCAGGGGCATGGCGCATCTCCGTTTCTTTAAGCCATTAAGCCAATGCTATCCAAAGACATTTCCACAGTCATGTGGCCAGCAGGACATCACGCTGCAGTGCAGAGTTTGTGGCAAAACAGAGAGTGCCGTTACTTTCCCACTGAAGTGGTACCTATTTATCTGCTTGCATTTGCATACTCTCAAACTGCTAGGTGGATAGGAGCTGAGGCAAATGATGGGAACTCACTCCATCACATGGCGCTCGGGTCTTAAACTCGGGCTGTCGGCTTTCCAGCTGACAAGCTCATCATCTTAACCACTGAGCCATCATGCCCCTTGAACTGAGTAAAGTGGAAGGAAGAAACTGACTGATAACTAGTGAGTTCCAACCTCGATTAATGCTCCAAGAGAAAAGTGAGGATAAGGAGCTTGTGAAGAAGCCAAAATGGGCTAGAACTAACCAAGAGATGAGACCAACTTGCCAGATGTGATTCTGGCCATCCAATCTGATCAGTTATGGAAGGCTTGCTGAAGGATCCTGCCCCTATTTGAGGTGCCGGGTACAGGAGTTGAGGGTCAGCCTTTCTGGGAAACAGATCCCACACTTTGGATGTGCTGTTCCTCAGAGGTATACCTTTCCTGTAATTCCATCAGGCCAAGAAACCAATTTTAAATTCAATTAACCTCTGGTCAATAGCATGACTATGACAGACCACTGATTTAATTTAGAATTATAATTGGAAGTACTATATCTCTCTTTTTTTAAAAAAAATTGTCCTGTATTTTCCATGTTGAAGGCACCAGAGTCAGCCAAATATCTAAATCTGATAATTGAAATAAAATAATGAAAAGCAGATAAATGAAACGTTACCTGTTTTCCCCAATAATGGGTAAAAAATTACAGCCACCATCAACCCTCTCAATACTGGAAAAACAGAATGCAGTCCTTAATAACCGAATCTGCTGCAGAGTTGGCAAATCCCACTTTTCTTCCTCAGTTGATGATTTGTTGGTTTGTTTTTGCATTACAAAAGAACTTTTTCACAGGAGTGCTAAAACTGTGTTTAAGAAACAGTGAATTTGAGAGCCTTAGACCACTAGAGAGGTACTTTGTGAGCCACTGAAGAAGCTAGAAATCTCCACTTTTCTATAAAAGGTAAAGTTTCCCCTTGCACATACCTATACATGCTAGTCATTTCCGGCTCTAGGGGGCAGTGCTCATCTCCGTTACAAAGCTGAAGAGCCAGCGCTGTCTGAAGACGTCTCCATGGTCATGTGGCCGGTATGACTAAATGCCAAAGGCGCACAGAACGCTGTTACCTTCCCACCAAAGTGGTCCCTATTTTTCTATTTGCATTTTTACATGCTTTTGAACTGCTAGATTCAAAGTAATGGGAGCTCACTCCGTTACGCGGCGCTAGGGATTCGAACCGCCAAACTGCCGACCTTTCTGATCGACAAGCTCAGCGTCTTAGCCACTGAGCCACCACGTCCCTTTTTTCTATAGTCAAGCCAAAATCTCCAGCAACCAAAAAGAAAAAGATTTACGTTAGGATCCTTTATCCTTATCCCCTTATTTCATAAGATGAAATAGATCTCGTTTCCATACTGGCAATGAAGTATGTTAGATTATGACCGCAGCACAAAGAAAGGAGGAAAGAGAAAACTTTTTTAAAAAAAAAACTTGAACGGGTAAAGACATCTTTAACCTACCTTAGCGCTTGGATTGGGATCAGAGGAAGACATCATGGAGATTCTCAACCATCCAGGTCCTGGTTGTCCCAAAAGTGCTTTTTTCAAGAGGCAACTGGACTTTCTGGTTTTTCTTTGAAGACATTTCACTTCTCATCCAAGAAGCTTCTTCAGCTGTGCTGAAGCTTCTTCCCTACCATACAGTCAGAGCTGAAGAAGCTTCCTGAAGAAGACAAACTCATATATAATACACTTTCACTTATTTTACACTTGGCTATTCTTGCCAAGGCAGTATGATTTGTTACCTCAAGGTGGCAAGGTTTCGTCGCATTATTCATAAAATTCAGTCCATTTTGATTACCTCAGTGGTCTATTTATATTTTATATTACCTGAAACAGAAACTGTTCAATTATTTTGTTAACTTGCTGAATTCTGGCCTGAGACCACAATAAAGAACTATTATGGTTTAATATTAAATACTAGAATATTTAATGATTCTATGTGTTGGACTAGGTCCCACTCAGCTAGAGAAGTTTGTGAGAAGACTTCGGGCCAATCATTCTTTCTCAGTCCAATCTACCTCATGGGGAAAAAATAGGTGGAACATTATCTAACCATCCTTGCATTCCTGAAGGAAAAGCTGGCTCTAAAATAAATCAATGGAGCTTCTAGAAATCCAGAATCCCATGGAAATTTAAGAACATACTTCAAGGGTTCCCAAGAAGAACCCTATTCAAGAAATGAACCCAGTCAATTTGTGAGTAAATAGCAGCTGGCTCAATTTTTCATGTGCAGAGAACTTTCTACAGAAAGAGACGTCTACAAAAATTTGCTTTTCCCCTTTCCTTGCCTTTAAGTCCGAATGGGAAGATTTTATGGGATGTATGAACTGTGAAGAGCATCTTCAAGGAATAAATTAGAGAGGAGGAGGAGGAGGAGGAGGAGGAGGACAAGAAGAAGGACAACAAGAAGGGGAGGAGAGGGAGGGGGAGGAAGAAGAAATGGAGGAGGAGGAGGAGAAGAAAGACAACAACAACAAGAAGGACAACAAGGAGAAGGAGAGGAGGAGGAAGAAGAAGAAATGAAGGAGATGAAGATGAAGATGAAGAAGCAGCAGCAGCAGAAGAAGAAGAAGAAGAAGAAGAAGAAGAAGAAGAAGAAGAAGAAGCTTCTTTGTGTGATTTCACTCCCAAAGGGCAGAAGAGAAGGTGGACTGATAGCCAGGAAAGAATGCTCCCACCCACCACCACCAAGAAAATCCAAGGAATTTGAGAAGAAAATGACAGGAAGGGGGGGGGGAATTCAACATGCATCTCATTTCCTTGCTTCAAACGAGAAGTCCCCTCACCTTGCCAACTTCTATGTAGGTTGCAGATCCAAGGATTTCAGTTGGATTAGTAGAACCCTTGCCTTAAAATTGCTCACAAAGTTTATTCTCTGTCAAAACCCAGAGCGTAACTGAGAGCTCCTACAACTAATGCTTCCAAATTGTTATAATTTCTGGAACTGTTCTTCTTGACAGTCTATGTATACCCTATAGAAGGGTGTGTGTTTTCCTGCAACAGGCCTGGGTGCTTTCTTTGAAAAAGCAGAACTTGCACTCATTATACTCTTTCCAGGGTCAGGAATTTCTCTCGGTGCTGTCGTTTTAGAAAACCGATCCTGTCTCTAAACCTGCCTGCAATTTGCACAGAGAGCTGTGACAACAAAAATGGCTTCTAGCGGTATTTCCTCTGCCCACTGCCTTTGGATAAAAGAGAATTTAGGGTTAGGGTTAGTATCCTAAAAAGACAAAATATTTTATTTTACACATCACTACAGCAGCGAGAATTGCACTTGCTCAATCTTGGAAAATGACCACTATACTGACAGATAGTTTAGTAATTCAAAAAAAAAATTCGATTGTGCAGAAATGGACAAACTCACTATAGAATTAAATAATAAGGAAGACTCGGAATATTACTCAATTTGGGATAATTGGTACCAATGGATAGATAGTAGGAATATGAAATGCATAGATTAGAATAAGATATAAATATGTATATATGTACATGATTAATTAGAAATGTACAGAAATGTATGAATATAACTAAGATTTTTCAGTACTGACAGAGAAGATGGTGAATTGTACAAAGTTATTTTTTAGATTTACTTGTATTTTAATGTTTCAAATTTCAATAAAGTTTTATAATTTAAAAAGGGGGGGGATTTAGACACATTTTTTTAAAAATAAAAGAAACATTTTCACAATCGAGAAGCCCAAAAGAGGTGTGTGGTTTTCTGCGTGTGTCAGAGAAACGGGTGGCAGATAAAAAGGTACTTTTTTAAAAAAAAGAAAAAGAAAAAGAAAACTCCTCAGGAAACACAATTGCCTCAAGCTGTCATATTCTGCCTCTCTGAAAGTCCAAACTGAACTCCAGGCAGCCCTTCTGAGGAAAACACGTCTTGAAAGGGGCTATCAAGGACTTGATCTGTGGTAGTTCCATCTGCAATTGACGGATTGCCTGGGAGATGGAGGAGGCTTGAAGAAAATGCCAGGTTTATCAAGCTCGACGGTGGAAGGGGTTAATTCTGTAATCATTCTCCAGGATGGTTGTGATCTCCACGGTCAATTACAGTGAAGGGGTGGGCCTAGCAGGGAGGGGAGGGAAAAAGACTTATGCCGTGCACACATGCGTCTCTTTCTGCAGTCTCCAGCTTTCTCGTGTCTTGCTAAGAAGCATCCATCCTTCATGCTCCTTAGACTAGTTTGGTCTTACCATTCTGCATGGGCAGCTGCAGGACAGCTGTCTTTGGATAACTGCCTGCCTGTTTGCCAAGGCTAGCTTCCCTTTATCCAAAAATGGTCGCTTAGTGGGAAAATTATGCAGACCTATTATTTCGGGAGAATAAAGGATGGATATCTTCAACGGCAGTCTGATTGACCTCAGCTCTAATATCTCTGCCCTGCTCTGCGAACTCGACTTGGAAAATTACACCATTTTCTGCTTGGACCACTCTCCCCGGACTTTTAAAGGTGAGTGCCCTTCGAAGAATAAAGAAGGCATCGGCTGGGTTTAGCTAATCTAAAGTAAACAATTTATGAAGGCTTTCAAGTCAGGCTGTGTGAAAAGTGACATTTGTGGATGAGGGAAAGAGGAAAAGCAGAAGCAAAAAGCCCCTTAATGTTCAGATTAAACCGCCGGTGGTGCCAGAAATGTTAAAAGTGGCAGGGCAGGATCGAAAAGATCTGAGAGAACGAAGTTCCAATATTCCAGTGAACACTTTTGAGGGGTGCAATAAAAGGTATGTGGGAGGAATTGACCACTCAGACGTGCAATTATGTATTAGTCTCCTGCTATGTCTAATCAAAAAATGGTAAAACTTTAAAGTTTAGCTGCCTCGTGGTGCAATAAGCAGGCATAACCTTTTAGAAGCCTAATAAATCAACCCCTTTAAAAAAAAAACAACCATGGCGCATGTTATAAAGAAGATGGGAAGCAATCGAAGGAGCACATATGCTGATTAAACTACATTTTAGAGGGTAGTGAAAGCAACCAGAGATAGTCTGGAGGTTGCCCTGGATTCTGTTTATAACAGAATAACAGGGCTGGAAGGGAATTTGGGGGTCTTCTAATCCAACCCCCTGCTGAAGCAGGAAACTCTATATCATTTCAGAGAAATAATTGTGCAATCTCTTCTTAAAAACTTCCAGTAATGGAGCACCCACGACTTCTGAAAGTGACTTGTTCCACTGATTGATTGTTCTCCCTGTCAGAAAATTTCTCCTCAGTTCTTGGTTGCTTCTCTCCTTTATTAGTTTCCATCCGTTGCTTCTTGTCCTGCTTCAGGGCTTTGGAGAATAGGTTGACCTTGACTCCCTGTTCTTTTGGTGAACCCCTGTATAAGATGACTGCCCCTTCTTTTGTTAACTTTACCAGCGTAAAGCTACCCTCCAGTTCTACTAACTTAGAACGCCATCCTTTCCCAATTCTTTGGGGGACAGAGACACAAAACTGAGAGCAAATGTAAGATTTTTCCAATCAGGCCGGCAGAAAAGATGTTGTAGAAGAGCAGCAGCAAGCAAGAGACTTGATTAGCCCTTTCCTCTATTTATCATGCTTCCCTATTTTGAGCTAACTGGCACAGGTTGCTCAGGATCTTCTAATTGGAGAGGAATCAGTCGGAGCATGTCTACTTCACTCCCCCCACCCCTCACCCCGCTTATGACTTCTCCTCTCCAAATGTCATCCGTCCCCTTCACATCGTTTCATGTTGAACTCCTGGAAAACCTCTTGCTTGGCACCTCATCACTGCTAGCGGTGGTTTCCAGACAGACCGTAGTGAAGGCGGACAACGCTCATGGGTTTAGAGAGGAGAAGACCCAGGGGTGGGCTTCTGGGGGTTCGCAGGGGTTCAGGAGAGCCCCTAGCTAAGGTTCTGTGCAGTTCGGAGAACCCCCAAAGTCCATCCCTGGCTGGCTTCGCCCACCCCATCCTGCTCCTCTCAGGAGTCCCCATGAGGCCCATTTTGGATGCAAGTAAGGGCAGGGCATGCATGGAGTCTTGGGAAGGGTGAAAAATGGCCTCCCGGAAGTTCGGGAAGGCTGGAAATGGGCCTGTTTCTGGCTTCCAAAGAGCCTCCGGAGCCCGGGGAGGCCGTTTTCACCCTCCTGGAGGCTCAAGGAAAGCCTCCGGAGCCCAGGGAGGGCAAAAACTCCACTGCCATGGTGCAGGAGGGCGACTAAGCCTCACCCACCATGGCCACACCCACCCAGCAACCTAGCAGAGAACCTTTGCTAAAAGATTTTGAAGCCCACTTTGAAGACCTCTGGCAGATGCACTGTACTAGCAATAGAAAGAAATGATGGGTGGGAGCAAAGACGTGAAAAGACCCTTCCCTTCAAGTAATTGTAGGAGTCCCACTTAAGGAGGACTAAGAGCAAGCTACTCATGGAGGAGGCACGGCTTGCCTCACTGGTTTCTTTCTAGCTTTCAAGTCTCTGTGAGAAAAACTACCCCCCTTTTTAAAAGGTTTAAACCCAGAAATCTTGGATCCTTTTTTTGTTTGTTTGGTAATAAGTTTTTATTTTATTTTATAGCATACAGAAATTCCAGTTTCAATTGAACAGTATGTTGTCTGGGTATAAATCATTTTAGGAAATAATAATCACATTATTTACAATAATATTCATTGCATTCACATCAATTGTATTAACATTAGTAACAATCATAATCGTAGTAAATCTTGGGACCTTATTCTCCATGCATATCGTCCCCCGTGTAGAACAGTGATGTCAAACTCAAGGCCTGATCTGCCTCACAGGGTGCTTAAATCTGGCTGGCCTGGAAATAGCAAAGGACTGGCCTGAGGTGGTTCCGCTAGTAAAAATCAGGCACGGGGAAACCGTGCACGGCTTCTTCGCACCCCGTTTTTGGCCTGGACGGTCTCCTGCAGCACCCTGCCAGCCAAAACGGAGTGCAGGAGCACCCTGTTTTGGCCAGCAGGGTGCTGCTGGAAGTGATTTCCCCACCCCCACCCCCGCCCGCCCGTGGAGGAGAACTACAATGCTGATCTGGCCTTGGAAGAAATTCAGTTTGACACCTCTGATGTAGAAAGAAAGTGCTTCCACCCTTTCGCATAGCAATAGCACATAGACTTATATACCACTTTATAGTGCTTTACAGCCCTCTCTAAGTGGTTTGCAGAGTCGGCCTATTTCCCCCAACAATCTGTGTCCTCATTTTACCCACCTCGGAAGGATGGAAGGCTGAGTCAACCTGGAACCTGGTGAGATTCTATCTGCCAAATTGCAGGCAGTTGGCAGAAGTAGCCTGCAGTACTGCACTCTAACCACTGCACCACTGCGGCCCATGTAATGCAGCACACACTGTGGTGTCCTTTATGCTTTCTGAACTTGGTTTTTTTTTTTTTTTTGCAGGTAATATCAGCAGTGCTCTAAATTCTTTGTTTTTTATCTTTGTTTACATGCAAGTGTCTTGCTCTCTCAGTGTTAGAGGGAATATTCGACATTAGAAATAGCAATAGTACTTATATACCACTTCCCAGTGCTTTACAACCCTCTCTAAGCAGTTTACGGAGTCAGCATATTATCACCCCCCCCCCCCAACAATCTGGATCCTCATTTTACCCACCTCAGAAGGATGGAAGGCTGAGTCAACCTTGAGCCTGGTGAGATTCGAACTGCCAAATTTCAGGCAGCCGGCAGTCAGCAGGAGTAGCCTGCAAGTGCTGCACTCTAACCACTTGCGCCACCTCGCCTCAGCATGTGATTATTCCACACAGTGCTTCTTTCGATTCTGATTATTGTTCCCATTGCCTTGCAGAATTGGACCAGACAGTGCGGATCTTCCTCTATTCCTTGATTTTTTTACTCAGCGTCGCGGGGAATACCTTGGTGATCACAGTGCTGATCAGAAACAAGAGGATAAGGACGGTCACCAACTTATTCCTGCTGTCACTGGCCATCAGCGACCTCATGCTGTGCTTCTTCTGCATGCCTTTCACCCTGATCCCCAACCTCCTACAGGATTTTATTTTTGGCAGCCCGCTCTGCAAAATTACCAGCTATTTCATGGGTGAGTCTGAAGAAGGGTCCTTGTTTCGCGAGGGAGTCATTGTCGGCTCCTCTTGAGTTGAGTTGTTGTCTGACATCTTCTAACACTGGAGTGTTGAATTTGATTTCACTGAGAGCCACATCAGGGTTGTGTTTGACCTCCGGGGTCAGAGGGGGGACTGGCCAGCTCAATGTCACTCATGTCAGGGGTGCCTGTGGTGGCCCGAGCACTCTCTCAGCAAAAACAGGCTCCCAAGCTCCGTTTTGTCTGTGATGGCCTCCTGAAGCCCTCTGCCAGTGAAAACGGAGCTTGGGAGGGATGCCTGCAGCACCCACAAGTTCCGTTTTCACTGGTAGAGACACCACGAGCCGGTCCTTCGCTGTTTCCAGGGTGGCCCCACGGGCCAGAGATAAGCACCCTGTGATGACCCAGAGCATGGCACAAAAGCAACAAAGTCACCAAAGTAGGTAAAGTCTCTGTAATACCTCCAACTTGACCCCCAATGTCCAGTTATCATTGGCTGGAGAAAAAACTCGCCCAAGAGCAGTTTTTAAAGGGAAGAAATTCAGTCAGAACCCAAAGTACATATAAATTAGAAATAAAAACCAACACATCATGCTGCAGCAATTAATGAGACAAGGCAGGATAAGGAATTGCAAACCACACACAGTTGGGAGCATACCCGAACCCAGATAAGACTTGACAAACAAAGATAATGCATGCTTTGCTTCCAACAAAGTGCTGTGCAAACGCCCTTTTTAAATCCTGTTTTCCCAGCAGCAGCTAATGAAGGGAATCAGGGCCCTTTTCTCCCCCATAACCCCCGTAACCCACGTTTTTCCCTTATCCGTTCCTCCCTGCATGCCCTAGGATGAAGAGGGGATGGGCCTGGGTCTTCCTCTGAATGCCCAGCCGGATTTTGCCCTTCCCCAGTTTCCTCCACTGCCACCAGAGCCACACTCCCACTCTCTGTCAGCTGCTCACCCCCCCCCCCCCCGAATCAGATTCCAACAGGGGCATGACACACACCGCAGGCCAGATCTGGCCCCAGGCCTTCAGTTTGACACCCCTGTTCTAATGAGTGACAGGTACTCCTCGGCTTACAACTGCAACAGACCCCACATTTTTATTTTTTTATAGATTTTATTGAATTTAGAGTTTAAAAACACATCAACGGTACATTTGCAAAATAGAAAGAAAACGGCTGGGGGCAAAGAATGAAAACAGCCGGCCTAACACACCGGATAAGGGCCGGTTGCGGGGAAGAGAAAAGATATAGAGGGAGAGAGGGGAAGGGAAGGGGAGGGGAGGGAGAATAGGGTAGAAAGTACAATTAAAAACGAACGATATCTTTTTGTGACAGTCTGTAAGGATCGTTTCTCTTCGTCATATCCAATCTACTCCTCTTTTCCGTTATGTTTAAGTTACTCTTTATCATTTACATAATTTGTCTCTGTGTAAGCCAATTATACCATGAGTCCCAGTTGTCGTAAAATGTTGAGGACTCTTTGTTTTTTAACGCTATAGTTAGTTTATCCATTTCAGCACACTCACAAATTTTCTGAATAACCATTTGCTCTGAAGGTGTATGAGGTGATTTCCAACATTGAGCAAACGCTAATCTAGCCTCAGTTAGAATATGGATTATTACATATTTTGTCTTTTTGGATAAATATCTATCAGAGATCCCTAACAGGAAGTCTTTCAATCACCATTGCCCCATTGTACGGCCTTTCTTGCCAGAGCTGTTAAGTGAGTCACTGCAGTTAATAGGTTAGTGACACGATGGTTAAGTGAATCTGGCATCCCCATTGACTGCTTGTCAGAAGGTCACCATGAACCCTGGGACATTGCAACCGTCATAGATGTGGGCCAATTGCAAGCATCCGGATTTTGATCACATGGCCATGGCAAGGTTGCAGTAGTCATAACTGTGGAAAACAATCATAAATCATTTCTTTCAAGTGCTGTCGTAACTTCAGTCATTAAACAAATGGTTGTAAGTCAAGGAGTATCTGTACTCACATGCCCAAGAAGGAGTTGTCAGTTCTTTGTATAACTATGTTGGGCTCTTCTAGCACGTCCAAAGTGCACAGCTACTTCCGACTTACCTTCAGAACCAGTAGGAAAAATGGCTACTCAAAAGAGAAATTTCTGGTGATGTGGAATTTCGAACTATGTGTCTCATAGCCTTGTCTAAACCAAAGGCACCTTTCTATGCTTCCTATATATTCATATGACTAAACACCATATGAATGGCGCACGGAGCGCTGTTACCTTCCCACCAAAGGGGTCCCTATTTTTCTACTTGCATTTTTACGTGCTTTCGAACTGCTAGGTTGGCAGAAGCTGGGGACAAGTAACGGGAGCTCACTCCATTATGCGGTGCTAGGGATTCGAACCACTGAACTGCCGACCTTTCTGATCGACAAGCTCAGAGTCTTAGCCACTGAGCCACCGTATCCATTCTTCATTCAGATAGATAGATGGATGGATGGATGGATGGATGGATGGATGGATGGATGGATGGATGGATGGATAGATAGATAGATAGATAGATAGATAGATAGATAGATAGATAGATAGATAGATAGATAGATAGATAGATAGATAGGCAGGCAGGCAGGCAGGCAGGCAGGCAGACTGACTGACTGACTGACTGACTGACTGACTGACTGACTGATTGGTCTATAGGTGATATCAACGTACAGGTTTAAACACATGTTACCGATAAAATTCCAAACAAACAATTTAAAGTGAGAGTAGGGTAAAATACAATAGTTATAGGATAAAATACAATAATTTAATACATAAATACGTAAAATAGAATAAAATTATATTTCTGTATCACCCCTGCAATCTACCGCAATCAGGCCCATCTATGCCGATCTCAGTCAGAAATTGTGCTGTATTAAATGTTGTTTCCAGATTCTGGCCATACATGAGATATATGCAGAGGTGGGTATTCAGCAGGTTCTGACCAGTTCTGGAGAACCGGTAACGGAAATTCAATTATTTTTACTACCAGTTCTGTGGGCGTGGCTCGGTGGGCGTGGTGTGGCTTGATGGGCATGGCTTGTTGGGCATGGCAGGGGAAGGTTATTGCAAAATCTCCATTCCCTCCCTACCCACTAACCTGCTTTCCAGCTCCATTCTCCTATGCAGGGCAACCAAAGAAGAGCCAACCAATCAGCTGGGACTCGGGAGGCGGGGAATAGATTGGGGGCGGGGCCAGTTAGAGATGGTATTTGCTGGTTCTCCAAACTACTCAAAATTTCCGCTACCGGTTCTCCAGAACTGTCAGAACTTGCTGAATGCCACCTCTGGTTCCAGCATGGCAAATGATTTTTTAGCAAATATTTAACTTGGAAGAATCTATGCAGAAAAATGGAAGAATAATTTAAATGATGACAAAGAAAGAAGCCTTATTTAAACCACGGAGGTCTTAGCCAAACTAAACATGCATTTGGTTTCTTCCATTAACAAAATTTATGCAATTTAAATTGCACTTTTTTTCTTACTGGATTTCTGTTTATAGGATTGCAAGGATCGCCATAGACCTAAAGGTATTTTAATTTCATGCGATTGGAACATAAGATTAAAGACAGCAGAGTAATATAAATGACAACAGATATTTTGTGTTTTAAGGCTTCTGCAGATCCAGGTACTCCTCGACGTAATGATCACAACTGAGCCCACCGTTTCTGTTGTTTAAGTGAGACATTTGTGAAGTGAGGTTTTGCTCCATTTTACGAGCTTTCTTGTCACAGATGTACCTGCACTGTACATTTAAGTACAGTGGGATCTCATCCACGTTCCTGAAAAACTGTAATAAAAACCCAAAGGCAAAGTCTTTTTTCAGGAAAAAGGGGAAACACGTTTGACGAGACAATAAATGAATCAGTAGGGTATAAAAATGATAGATAATAACTCAAAGGTAATTGCAGATATAAAACCCTCAAAAGAACAGGAGAGTTTTTTTTCCCCTTGGTGATTGCCATCAGAAAGGCAATTTGAGGAAATATATCAATATGACCTTTATCATCAACATCAACCTTTTGGAATGTATAATATAGGAGAAGACACAATTTGTAAGAGTTATAGCTACAGATAACTTGTACGCTGTCTCAATACTTAGACTGTCATTTATATTTTATATCTTCAAACTGCGGTACGTCAACGTGGAAAATTATACTTTTCCTACATCTATGTTTGCCCAATAAAACTGTTTTTCTTTCTTTCATTTATGATGCTGGAAAGAAAACTGGTATCCCTTATAGACAATAAATGTCATAAACCCATTTTTTTTTCTCGTTAATCAAAACCATGAATTAGGAAGAATTTCTATAAACTTTTTGTCACATCTGTGCAGAAGAAAAATGTCTAATATCAATATGTTTCAGGCATCTGTCACTGGGCACTGGACATCTGGATTGTGTAATATTTGATTTGATTATGGCTGTCTAATTTTGTGAAGCCTTTGGATAAATATTAGTTTCCTTCTGCTGATTTATTTGCTAGATAACTCGTTTGAGGAGATCCCTACAGAGACAAAAATTGTGATATTATACAGAGATGTTGTCTTAACCTCAAAGAGAAGGAAGTGGGTTTAAAATTAAAGAAAAGATTCTGAAATATATACCAGTCTGTCATTTCCGTGACAGTTGCTGGTTATAAACCTGGAACAATCCTAATTAATCTCTGCAAGATTCCTTGTTAAAGGGCACGCTAATGATCTGCTAGATACAGAATTTTGCAAAAACGCTTCCGAAAGTGACAATGGGCAACCAGGCCCTCCGTTATGGGCATCGTCAGGCAAGGAAAGTGATGTCATGCTTATCATCATGTCCATATGCCACATGTCATTTGTGTCATTTGCATGACGAATAACGGAATAGCAGGTTTGGAAAGGAACCTGGAGGTTCTTCTACTCCAAATCCCTTGCACACACAGGAGATCCTATATTATTTTGGACAAATGGCCCATTTATGCATATCTTCATGATGCACTTTATTTTTTCTTATAAAATCCATTGATTGTGGAAGGTCATTTATTAATTTTTCCAGAGCATTTATATGAAAGAGAGCTAATATTTTCATATTGTAAATCAGGAATAATGTCATCTTTATGAAGCAGATGAACAGAAACTTTAGTAGCACATTTGTTGCTTTTGAGTTCTCTGCCACCCTCCCTCCCTCCCCCTCTCTCTCTCTCTCTCACACACACACACACATCTGTCTAAATTTATTTGTCATCTACCAATCCACCAATCCATCTATCCATCAATCCACCCACCTACCCACCCACCCACCCACCCATCCATCTATCTATCAATCTATCTAATCTATCTAAATGGATGGAGGTATCAATGGATAGAAAATGTCTTTCTTTCTTTCTTTCTTTCTTTCTTTCTTTCTTTCTTTCTTTCTTTCTTTCTTTCTTCTTTCTATCTATCTAAATGGATGGAAGTATCGATGGATAGAAAATGTCTTTCTATCTATCTATCTATCTATCTATCTATCTATCTATCTATCTATCTATCATCTATCTATCTACTATCTATCTATCTATCTATCTATCTATCTATCTATCTATCTATATCTTTCTATCTGTCTGTCTAAATGGATGGAAGTATCGATGGATAGAAAATGTCTTTCTATCTATCTATCTATCTATCATCTCCCAGCTGTCAAGGTCTATGCTTTCACCATTCACTTTCTTTGTTCCCACAAATTCAAAACCTGTGCACTACTGTAACTTTCGCATTCTGAGCACACCTTCTTTACCCCCAATGCAACAAGAGTTAAACAACAGTTTAGATATACAGCAGTTTCTTGGTTGTCTGAATTGGCCACATGCACTAACATGTTCATTACAACCCATTCCAGGAATGCAATCAGAGAGAGAATAAAAACAAATTCGTGAAATTGTAGGAGAAGGAGTGTCAGACTCTGGGGAAAGAGTGAAAAGGAGGCTCAGCCTAGAATCCCTACGTAGCCACAGAGTCCACCCCACCCTTTGGGTACTGTTGAGCCTTATCTTAACTCCTAGCAGGTGTCAACCAATAGTTGAGAAGATTCCTATGCACAGGCATGGGTAGCAATAAATCAGTTCAATTGGACCTTCACATGTGTACCTCATCTTTTGCGCCTGACAGAGCTCAAGGAGCTGAAATGATTTCTTTGTTCAATAAGATACTCCTCAAATGATAGATAGTTCCTGCAAACAAACAGATGAGCCGTAATAGGCTTGAACTCATAGCTCTGTCTGACCCATCAGTTCAGAGAGAGCCATAATCAGTCATAATCTCCCCAATGGCCTAATGGTCTTAGCAGTACATTATCTTCCCCATAATAATATATTCAAAGTATTGGACCAAAACACTACATGGAAAATGGAGGGTGAAGCTGAATTCAAAACCTTGAATGGAAGCAGCAGGTCTTCCATTTTTCATCAGATTTTTAATCTGTCTATACACCATCTTAACAAGGATAAACTTAACTATTGTTGTCTACAATAGACATAACTGCAGTTCCATAACTGCAGGCCTAAATTAATCTGGTCAATATTGTCCAACTGACATCTTTCCCATTGGTTTGGAGATAGTAAAACTGTACATTATTCTGTTACTCCTTTGAAGTGATACTACCTGAAAAAAAATATATCCCTCATCGTGAAATAAGAAACAAGATAAATAAAGATACATCAAAATGACTGAGGCAATAGTAAAACATATAGTCGGGTTTCTCCTGATTTACTTTAGTTTAATGTTAGTTTCTTGTTTTAACTTGAAGACTTCTTTTTTAACCTCCATATCTGTAAGAATCTTTCCTGTTAACACAAGGAATGTAAGAATTGTAAATTATTAAAAAGAATTGTAAAAATGTTAAGAATATATATCAATCATCCCCATAAGTAGATTCCCCCCCACCTGTTCTTTGCTTATTTGTTTCAGGGAAAAGATTTGCTGGAATAGACTTTGCATTAACCTTTTACTTTCAAAAGACGTTATTGCTTTCTTTGACTTTTGAATTACTTTCCAGAAATTCTGGAAAGGTAATTTGGTATTATCTGCCAAATAGCTGATCTGCCTTACTGCCTGGTGAAAATTCACTTTCTGCTCCCCCCTCAAAATTTTCTGCATAGAAAGCATTGCTTCAAAGCAAGGCTTGGATCCTAAGGAATTTATATTGCATTACTGAAATCTTTCATCTACCCTTTTTTCAATCCTATGTTCACCAAGGGGTTAAAAAAATTACTGAATTGGAGGGGGGTGGGAAGGAATTGCATTTGGTTGTAAATTGGACATCGTATCCACTTTTGAACTGTGTGCCATGAGGTGCCAACTCCACTGATGGAAGTTATAATCCAAAACACCAAGTTTTCCCACCTCTGTTCAAGCCCTTCCTTGTCAGGTGTGAAGAATCAGGACCACGTATTAAGTTCCAGTTAAGGTGATATATTGCTAAAGCAAGTCAACTAACAGATCAGCATAAAATTAGCGCTAGATGAGAGTTAATAAAATTCAAGATGGACTAGATCTGGATTGCTTATGGGAACGTAATGATTCCAGGCTAATTCCTCTCTTGACTCCACACCCAGTTTTTGGCTCTTCTCGCACATTCCTCCACCAAATAGCTTTGCTGGCTGAGGAACTCTGGGAATTGAAGTTCACAAGTCTTAAAGTTGCCAAGGTTGGAGACCCCTGGTATAGACTATATTCGGCAATTGGAGGGGTAGAAAAGCAGATTTTGGAAAAAAAAAGAAGGGTTTCCGTTCTCTCCATGACTCAAATTATGACTGTATTATTGCCCTTTGTAATTGAAAACACAATTCTGCATATATTTAAAATATGGAGAGCAATTGACCTCAGGGATCTGAGTTCATATCCATGCAGAAGATTCTTTGCTAGGATGTACAATTCCTATTTCTCACAAAGAGAAAACCCACCGTGACACATTGTAAGTGTTGTAAGGTAAATTACGACTATCCTATATCCTTCCTTCTAAATTGCATGTGAGAAAAGAACTTGCAAAGACTCTATCCTCGAGAAATACGGTGGTGATACTGACAAGACATCATTGGTGGCTCTGAAGTCTGTTACAAAATACAAATCCTGCTGCAGTCTAGATGTTGCTAAATAACAACAACAGAACCGACAGAGGAAAAGATATTGAGAATGTGCTTTTTCAAGAGGCAACTGGACTTTCTTTGTTTTTCTTTGAAAACGCTTCGCTTCTCATCCAAGAAGTGTCTTCAGCTCTGACTGGATGGTGGGGAATGGAAAGATTTATACCCCTTGCAGACATCTTGGTCATTTGCATTCTATGTCTACATTTTGGACAGAGAGGACTGCTGTTTTGAAAGAGGGGTCAAAGAGGCCATCTATATCAAAATTGAACAGGCCTCTCTCAACAGAAGGGGAGGGATTATGACATCGTCTATGTCCAGTCTAAAACGTAGTCCTTTCAACAGTTCCAAGAAGGCTCAGCACCCATTTGCACCACTCAGGTGACCCTGAGGACTCAGATGAACCTCCAGGTGGCTCAACAACTCTTTAAAAGGACGCAAATGACCAGCTGTCTTCAAGGAATATAAATCCTTCCACTCCCCACCACCCAGCCAGAGCTGAGAAAGCTTCTTGGATGAGAAGCGAAGCATCTTCAAAGAAAAACAAAGGAAATCCAGTTGTCTCTTGAAAAAGCACTTTTGGGAACAACCATGACTTGGATGACCGAGAATCTCCATAGATGTTGAGAATTGCAGTGCAGCAGAACCTGGAGGTGCACCACAGATTCTCATCTGTGGTGTAAAACCAAAGTTAGAACTTAAATTGACTGTAAAATTGCTCAGCAATTTTAAACCCTCAAAGAGCCATTTGGAGCCATTTCCCACAGAAAAGAAAACACCGGGAGCCACAAAATCCTTCCCATGCCTGACTATTTCCTGAGCGGCCACAAAACTAGCATATGCAGTTGAATTAAACATTCTGTTTTAGTTGTGATTCGCCGGCAGCTGGCGCAGACGGAAGCAGAAGTGGACAGTGTGGAAGAATGGGGACCACTCAGGTAGTCTGGAGAGAACTCGGATCCTGTGTCTGATGCAAAGATGGGGCCAGGACCACATGGGAGTGGGCTGCTTCCTTCAGAGCCATCAGAGTCTGGTATTAGCGAGGCAGAGGACCCAGGGGAGCCTGTTCCCAGTGCGCATGTGCACAGAGCTGCTAGATGGCAAGAGCAGCTGAGACAAAAGGGGCAACTCAGGAGTAAGGCTGGGAGGTGATTGCCCCTCCCATAAGGTATAAAGGACAGGACAAGATGACGATACCTTTGCAGGAAGCAAAGTAGTTCGATCGGTTCAGAGTCATTCTGGAAACTCTTTGTACATCAGTTGGGTTTTTTTTTTTCAGTTGGTTTCTTTTCCAGTTCATTTGATACTTCTGGTTTTTGGCAGCACTTCACAGAACTGAAAGGTGTGTGCTTATTTCGGGGGACTATTTGAGATTAATTCCGGCTGGGAATGTAAACAATTCCCAGCGTTGCAATAAAATAAGTCTTGTTTTTTAAAATAAGTGTGTGTGTGACTATGGTTTAGGAAGCCTGGGTCAGAACAGTTTTCGTCTGAAACTGTTCTTTTCTTGGATCTATCCATGGTTGGCCTACCGGGGTTGAAAAGCTCAATAAATCGTGTGCCGGCGGGTGTCGCATATTGGCAGTTGTGACACCTATTTTGAGTGACAGGGGACTGCAGCAGAGGGATGAAAGAGCCACATGCAGCTCCAGAGCTGCGGGTTGCTGACCCCTGTACTAGACACATAAACTGCTGCATTGTCTTGGTTTTAAGATTGTAAAATTGAGGCCAGTAATTTTCCTTCTTCTATTTCTGCTTTCCTACCCACCTAGGTGTCTCAGTGAGCGTATCAACTTTTAGCCTGGTGGCCATCTCTCTTGAGAGATACAGTGCCATATGCAAACCCTTGCAATCTCGGGTCTGGCAGACCAAATCCCATGCCTTGAAGGTAATCGCGGCCACGTGGTGCCTGTCCTTTGTCATCATGACGCCCTACCCAATTTACAGCACACTGGTGCCTTCAGTGCTTCCTAACAGCACCACATCCAAGTGTCGTATTAATTGGCCAAGCACAGTGATCGAGCAGTCCTGGTAAGAGTGGACCATAGGTCCTTGTTTTTTGAAGGCATTTGTCTTAATCTGTAAAATTATGGAAAATGCAATGATTTGTGATTTCGATGGAACTAAAAGAAGTGTAATACCATTGCAGCTAATTGCAATAACAGTTGATGTCTCAATTACAATGTTTGTATAACTATAGGCACAATATTGCACATAAGTACCCTGTTTCTTTGAAAATACAACCTACCCTGAAAGAAAGTCCTATCTTGATCTTTACATGTATGACCAATATAAGCCCTACCCCTCCCCAAAAATAAGCCCTAATTAAGATCCCACCTACTCCAGAGTGCATAGATAAAAATTAAGCTAGGGTGGGGATGAGTGGGTAGTGGAGCTGTCCTACTATTTACCTTTGGACAGTTGTAGCTAGGCCTCGCATACCACAACACCTGCCTTGCCGGCCCATTTCTTCTGCAGCCGGCAAGGCTGGCAAGACTTTCCTGAAGGCCTCTGGACCTGATAACAAAGCTCTGGATGGATCCAGAGCTCTGTTATTGGCTGCAGAGGCCTTCAGGAAAGCCTTGCCAGCTGCAGAAGAAGAAGTTCCTGAAAGCCTCGGACAGAGAAAAGAAGGTCGGGGGTGACGCATGCAAATGAGGTTAGTCAGTGGATGACATCCCCTGAAAATAAGACCTGATGCCTTTTTTTGGTAGCAAAAAAATATAAGACAGGGTCTTGTTTTCAGGGAAACATGGCTAGTAATCAATGGAGGGTATTTTTGCTCTTCTATTGTTCTAGCAGTTATCGCATTTGTCATGTTCTCTACCTACTAAGGACAACGGCTACACTCTTCTCCTATGTCAACCCAACTATCTTTTCCAAGATCAAGTTATTTGTCACGGTCCAGATGCAGTTGCCTTCTAAGAAACGGGGCGCCATTCAATCCCCCAAAGTTTCAGATACGAAAGCATTGATCAACCCAGCCTAAATATGTCAAGCTGGACACCCACTTCATGCAGGAAGTAAAAATTCTGAGCAACTAATCAGAAGTATGTTTTCCTCAAACAAACTAAAAAGGAGACCTATCCCACTTTTTACATTTGAGCATCCAAGAAGGGACAGGAAAGGAGAAGGGGAAAGAAAAAGAAAGGAAGATGGGAAGAGAGCAAGGAAGGAAAAAGAAGGGAAGAAAAAAAGAGAAGGAAGAAGGAAGGAAAAAGAAGAAAGAAAAGGCAGGAAGGGAGGGAAATTATAATAAGTGGGAGAGAGGGTCTGAGGGAAGTTCTGCCTTAGCACTTGGCTACCACAGGTGCCCCTGACACGAGTGATGTCAGGCTGGCCACGCCCGCTCCGGCCTCTGAGGTCCAACACAACCTTGATGTGGCCCTCAATGAACCCCCTGGTCCAAATCTTACAATGAATAGCTAACAGAACTAGGTATGTTTAGCCTAAAAAAGAGAAGGCTTAAAGATGACCCGATAATTGTCTTCCGATACCTGAAGGGTTGTCACAGAGAAGAGGGAATTGCCTTATTCTCCAAAGCACCTGAGGGCAGGACGAGATGGGTGGAAACTCATAAAAGGAAGCTCCAACCTGGAGCTAAGGAGGGATTTCCTATCAGTGAGAAGCATTAATCAATGGAGTGACTTCCCCCCCAAGAGTTATGTGCGCTTCATCACTGGAAGTTTTCAAGAAAAGATGGGATGACCATTTGTCTGGGATGGTATGAGGATTTCCATTTTGGGCGATTTCCATCTTAGAAGACCTCCAAGGCCCCATCCAGTTCCAGACCTATGACTTTATGTAAATCTAAGGGAAGAAGAGTTCCTTGAGTTATGTGTACAGATCTCTCTCTTAGGGCACAGGGAGAGAGATGCTATAAAAGAGTTAATTGTGAATTTAAGCAAATTCTTCTAAGAAAAGGAGGTTTGAATGGATGGATATGTATGTGGGGTATATACTCTCTCTCTCACTCTCTCTCTCTCTCTCACACACACACACACTCATTACCATATTCCTTGTCAAATTAGACAGCCACTTAGACAAATTACTGGGTGCCCAGCCTTCTTTTCAGATAAATAACACAGCTGTTTTGCCGTCACAAGTATCTTTCCAGATTTACAGCAAAGTTTACAAGCCTACTCACTGAAATCTTCAACAAATAAACCCATATTTCTTCAAGCAGTTCCTATAACAACAACTCATATTATCATCTAGCCTGTTTTGGAGTTTGTGCGATATTAAATCAAACCTGGGGCACGAATATTAGTCAAAAGTGGGTTTATTTGTTTGAGACAACATGGTTTAGTATTTAGAACTGGTGAGGTGGCCAAAGATGCCAGACTAATCAGCTATAATTGTAACTGAAGCTCAAAGTGAAATATGTTTTCTGTCACATACCTCCTTCAGATGATATCCTGATTGTTAATCATGACAGTGCTAGAAAGCAAAACAATTGTGTTTAAATTGTGCCTTCATGCACTCTTACCATAATCTCAAATTTGCAGTCAGAAATAGCCCCATAATAATAAACTTTCCAAAAATTCCTCTGCTGATCTGCTTTAGAAAAACAGAGATAGCAAAGAAGGAAACATTTGTGCCGGGAATAAATGTTCATGGACCAAACCCTGGTGGAGGTTTTGTGTGTGTGTGTGTGTGTGTGTGTGTGTGTGTTATTGATTAAATTTACACGCCACCCTTGTTGCTATGCAGAGCAGTTCTGGGTGGCTTACAATGCCCTAAAACAGAAGTATAAAAACAATTACGAATATAGCAATAATTAAAATTACAAAAGTTAAATAGACTGAAAACCAAGGGCTTGTGCAGAGCAGGAGTCGTGTCTTCTGTCACAGTACCAGGTACTTCCATCCTGGAGCATCTCCGTCGGGTCCCCACGCCAAGCCAGGCTTTAAGGCCCTTTTGGAAAAACCACAAGGATGTGACCTCATCTGAGGTGGCAGGATGTTCCAAAGGACAGGGGTCAAATCAGAAAAGGCTTTTCTCCTAGAGTCATGGCCAGTCAAAATTCCTTGACTGATGGGGTCTTCTTCTGGACTGTGTGGAGTGGGCCACAGTGGTGGGATTCAAATTTTTTAACTACTGGTTCTGTGGGCATGGCTTGGTGGGCGTGGGCATGGCTTGGTGGGCGTGGCAGGGGAAGGTTACTGCAAAATCCCATTCCCTCCCCACCCCACTAACCTGCTTTCCAGCTCCATTCTCCTGTGCAGGGCAACCAAAGAAGATCCAGCCAATCAGCTGGGACTCAATGGGAGGCAGAGAATAGATGGGGGAGGGGCCAGTCGGAGGTAAAATTTGCCGGTTCTCTGAACTACTCAAAATGTCCACTACCGGTTTTCCAGAACTGGTCAGAGCCTGCTGAATACCACCTCTGAATTGAAGGCATCTTATAAAGGTTCAGTAATGATTCCCCACCTCGTCTCAAATTTCAGATTCAATTGGAGCCCCTTTTTTTTGAGATCTAACAATGAATACCCGAGTTGCCATCTTTCCTATTGTAAATAGGAATTGTTATTCTCGTGTTTAAAATAGAGTCTAGTGGTGGTAGAGGCCTGCTGGGAATCGGGTTTGCTGAGAGGCGGGTAGGAAAATGCGAATTTCTCTGACAATCTAAATCTTCCTTGTGGCTTTCTCAGGTATATTTTCCAACTCCTCATCCTTTTCCTTATCCCGGGGATCGTAATGATGATAGCGTATGGATTAATATCCTTGGAGCTCTATAGAGGAATAAAATTTGATGCAAGCAACAGAAAATCTTCTCGAGGTAATCCCGACGACTGAACCTGTCCATTTGCTTTCTGTCTTAATAGCTTGCCATGTACAAGCACAAACAGTGATATTTATATCTATCTATCTGTCTGTCTATCATCTATCTATCTATCTATCTATCTATCTATCTATCATCTATATCACCTATCTATGCATGTATCTATCAATCATATATATGACATCTATGTCATCTATCTATCTCCCATCTATATAATCTATCATCTATCAACCAATCAATCGATCGATCTATCATCTATATCATCTATCTATATCTATCTATATCTACCTACCTATCTATTATCTATCTATCATCTATACCAACTATTTATCTATCTATCAATCTATCTTCTCTCTATCATCTATCTATCTATCTATCATCTATATCATCTATTTATCTATCATCTATCAATCTACCTATCTAATTAAATCATCTATATCATCTCTCTATCATCTCTCTATCATCTGTCAATCTATCTATCTTCTCTCTATCTCTCATATATCTATCATCTATGTTGTGAAGCGGTGGAATAAGCTGGGGCAAACACAGAGCGAACTTCAGCTTTTACTTTATTGTAACAATAAAGGGTTGCCGCGGCTGCCGCGCTAACAAGGCAGCCAGCTGGCAGACAACAGCTGATGCCGTTTGACAGCTCCCTTTTATAGCCAGCTGTCAAACAGCATCAGCCAATAGGAACGGTCCATGTTCCTGCTGGAAACACAGACCGGAGTGAAGACTTCAGCTCAGTGTTTTCCGAACGCCACAATCTATAACATCTCTCTATTGTCTGTCTGTCTGTCTGTCTCTCTCTCTCTCTCTCTCTCTCTCTCTCTCTCTCTCTCTCTCTCT